AAATTACTATGAAAAAGAAATGATGTCACAAATATACGTCCATCATGGCAGATTGGACTTAACACTTTTACGGCTGGGCTGTACACATGATTTGTGATGCAGAGACAACATTTCAGAATCCCCACTGCTCATTTCACACGTCATATTTAATCCCAAACATGGTAACACAAATAACATGGATGGTTACAAATAGAATATTTCCTGCTGACTATTGCAAATCGGAATTAAACTTTGAAGATGAAGCTGTGAGATCACTGGAAGGGGGAGATATAGTATCATCAATGTGCATGCCAATCATTGTAGATGGACTTACTTTTTTAATGTAAAAATAAAGACTGGAAAATGCAGTGGTGATATGTAGCATCCAGGCGAACCATTAAAGATCGGACTTACTGTGTCCTTTAAAGACCAAAATTAGGATACAACTACTGCATTTAAATTTGAAAACAACAAATTAATGAAGTGTCTCTGCCAATCAGATTGATTGGACTTACTTTCTAAAATCACAGTTCAGAGTGTAAACAGTTCTTTTATTGTCTCAAAACGTCACTGTGTCTCTCTACCAATCAAACATATTACGCTATTTCAATTCAATATAAAGCCATTAACAATAGCTATGGGGAATAACACACCAATCAATGCCTCTGTCAATCATCGCAGATCAGGCTTACTTTCGTTGAAAAACATTCCAACAAAATGATGAAAAGGTGACAAAGATTGAGAAAAATTCCTGCCAAACTTTATAGATTGGACTTACTGCTTTTAAAATACAACAGAAGGCGCAGTGCCCTGCAGATGATAATTTGGTACGTAACGCAACATAACCGGCCATGGCAGCATAATGAAAAGGCATTTAGATCAGCTTTACTCTTTTCAATGGAAATAAATAACATAATTTCATATAATCACATGTCCTTAGTGATCATTACAGATTGCACTTTAGTCTTTAAATTATGATCACCAGTTGGGGGTGCAAAAAATTACTCTTGTAAACAAAATAAAGTCAGTGTCCCTTACAACCATTGCAGATCGCTGGACTTATTTGTTCATACAACATAAGCGGTTCATAGAACATACAATAAATTCCTGCCGATTTCTATGGATCGGACTTACTGTTTTAAAATCTAAGGGGTGGCACCCAACTGCAGAAATACGCATATAAAGTTAGTGTCCCTGTCAACCATTGCAGATTGGACTTAATTGTTTCATGCAACATGTGATGCTAAAACAACACACAATAAATTCCTTCCAATCTCTATGGATCAGACGTACTGTTTTTCCAAGGGGAGGCACCCAACAGAAGGAATGGCTATAAATTTACTTTTGGATACAGCATATAAAGTCTTTGTCCCTGCCAACCATTTCAGATTGGACTTGCTATACTTTAAAAATAAAAAACCAACTTGGGAAAAAGAAATGATGTCACAAATATAAGTCCATCATGGCAGATTGGACCTAATACTTTTACGGCTGGGCTGTACACATGATTTGTGATGCAGAGACAACATTTAAGAATCCCCACTGATCATGTTACACGTCATATTTAATCCCAAACATGGTAACACAAATAACATGTGATAGTTACAAATAAAAGAATTCCTGCTGACTGTTGCAAATCGGATTTAAACTTTGAAGATGAAGCTGTGAGATCACTAGAAGGGGGTGACATAGTATCATCAATGTACATGCCAATCATTGTAGATTGGACTTACTTTTTTAATGTAAAACTAAAGACTGGAAAATGCAGTGGTGATATGTAGCATCCAGGCGAACCATTAAAGATCGGACTTACTGTGTTTTTTAAAGACCAAAATTAGATTAAAACTACTGCAGACATGGCTTACTTTCAATTTCACAGTGACAAAGATTGAGAAATATTCCTGCCAAACTTTATAGATTGGACTTACTGCTTTTAAAATACAACAGAAGGCGCAGTGCCCTGCAGATGATAATTTGGTACATAATGCAACATAACCTGCCATGGCAGCATAATGAAAGAAGAATTCAGATTAGACTTACTCTTTTTAATGGAAGTAAATAACATAACTTAATATACTCAAGTCACCCTAGTGATCATTACAGATTACACTTTTGGCTTTAATTAAATTATGATCAAAAGTTGGGGTGCCAAAAATTGCTCTTGAAAACAAAATAAAGTCAGTGTCTCTTACAACCATAGTAGACTGGACTTATTTGTTTAAATACAACATAAGAAATTATACAACATACAATAAATTCCTGCCAGTCTCTCCGGACCGGACTTACTGTTTTACAATCCAAGGGGAGGCACAGTGTTCCTATTTATTAATGCAGATCAAACTTAGGTTTTCAATGAAATATAACATTATTGAAATTACCTACAATAGTGGCAAAATGTCACAACATTGAAATCAAAGACAAGACTATGTGACATACTTTCGAAGGCAATATACTTTCACAGTGTCTCTGCCAATCTTTCTACATTGGACTCACCAATTTTCTTAACTCATCAGACCACACTAAGAACCTGTGTGAACAATGTCCGTGTGTAGACAAAACCCCAGTGTAAAACAGATCACACAGAGTGAAACTCTTTTATTAAAAAAGTATGTGACATACAGGTGTCAGACTTACGTTTTTTCCAATTTCAAAATAGGCTTGTGAAAATTACTTGCGATGGTGGCAAAGCGACACAGCATTACCTACCAATGTTTGAATATCGGACTCGCTA